TCTTTCTTTCTTTCTTTCTTTCTTTCTTTCTTTCTTTCTTTCTTTCTTTCTTTCTTTCTTTCTTTCTTTTAATTTTATTTTTATAACAAAAACAACAAATAAAACCATCTTTCAATTATACAGTTTGTTGGTTGGGTATCTTGTGCATATAATAATACTGATGTACATTTCTTATTGAGTTTACATTCATATTATATTATAGTCAACTTTATATATCCTCTTATATCATTATTACATTGTCATTAAATTTTTATTTCAATTTCAAACTATCCTTAAAGGCAAATTCCAACTCTTACTAAATTATATTCATATTAAAGCTTGTTCAAAAACAATTAGTTTTAGTATATCATTATTAATATAATATTTAATTTCTTACTCTATTTTCTAGCCATCCATAGAATAATTCCCAAATCTTAAAGTACTCCTTTTCTTCTTCTTCTCCAATTTTTAATGTTAATCTACCAATTTCTGCACATTTCTGATCGACAAGCTTAAGACGGTCCTTAGACAGCAGCAAAAGGCTGGAGCAGGTTTTTGTTTTCTCAACCTAAGCAAATTTTAAGATGTGTAGATCTTAAAATGGGGAATTCTGGGAGTTGGAAGTCCACGTATCTTAAAGTTGCTAATGTTGCTTGACTGCTACCTTGTGGGTGACTGGATCAAAGTTTAGTAGCCTTTACTTGATGTCTACTTTGATCAAGATAGTACAGGGGGTCCTCGACTTACGGCCACAATGGAGCCCAAACGCTCCTGTTGTTAAGTGTGACACTCGTTAAGCAAATTTTGCCTCATTGTGCCACCTTTCGTGCCATGGTTGTTAAGTGGATCGCTGCAGGCGAATAGTTAGTAACCTGATTGTTAAGTGAATCTGATTTCCCCATTGACTGCCGGCCAGGTGGTTACAAAAGTTGATCACTTGTTTATCTGAACCTTGGGACACAGGAACGGTCATATAAATATGAACCAATTGCCAAGCCTCTGAATTTTGATCGTGTGATTAGGGGGGAGGCTGCGAAGGTCGTAACTGTGAAACACGGCCACTTTTTTCCAGTACTGTTGTAATGTTTTGAACGGTCACTAAATGAATTGTTCTTAAGTCAAGGACTACCGGTATATTGTCTGTCTTTTACAATTTGGCTCGAGACTTTCTTTTAACCAGAACTGGCCCCGTTTGTTTATAATAAAGTACTCACTGCTTCCTGCCAGAGAACTGCCTTTTGGAGCCTCGTGGCTTCCTTGTCAACTCTCTCAAGCTTTAGTTGTTCTGCCATAGATGGTCATACTTCCTTACTAAGAAATCCCTTCTAGAATGGTCCACTGGCAAGCTTTATCCTAGGACCTAAGAAGGATGAGCTTTGCTGAGTCATGTGATTTGGAAATTCAGCTCTCCTTCTTCCTGCATTTAGTCACCTAACTCTCAGCTTTGCCTGAGAGCCTTTTCGTGTTTTTTTTTTTAAAATTCATTTATTTATATCCTGCCTTTCTTCTTTTTAGAAAAAGCTCAGGGTCGAGAACATATCCAGAATTAGGATAGAGCTGGAAGGGACTTTGGAGGTCTTCTAGTCCAGCCCCCTATTCAAGCAGGAGAGATCCTATACCATTTGAGATAAGTGTCTGGTTTTGGGTGTTGAAATGGTTCTATATAAGAGCTGAGGGCTGTTTGGAAAGTGAAAGAGTGCTGTGTGAGAAAGAAGGAGACAGCAAGGAGTCTGGACATGACTTAGCTCAACTGTTCTGTACTAAAGCTGCTTGGTGCTGTGAAACTGAAACTGAAACTGAAACTCCTCTGCTTGTGTTTTGCATTTGGAAGAGATTTCTTTTCAGGTGGGGAGGGGGAGTAGAACTCCTTAGCATCAGAGCGTATTAATAATAATATACGAAATTCTAATGCTCTGATGGTCATTTGGAAAAATCCTTTCTTAGTAGGTACCTAGAAGCCAAGACGAATATACATGTCAAATTTCAAGTTTGTAGGCTCTATGGTTCTGGAGATTTTGTGATGATGCATGAATGGTATTTTGCTTATATATATATATAGATTTAAAGTGAATATTACGACGTTAAGAACAGATTTTGCAAAAGGAATGCTCTAAAATAATATCACTATTAGAAGGATGTAGCGAATATTAATAATTGAAAAGTGAAGGATTATGAGCTGATACAGATATGTATAATAACATTAGACCACTTATATTTGATTAATGCAGTAACTTTCACTTGTATCAATATTACTTTGGTACCAAAATGAATGACACTCAGATGCCATGCTCTCCATGCAATGATATTGATGTATGTTTAAAAAGAAAAAAAAATATATGAAAAAAGAAAGGAAGTTGCTCTGCAAATGTCTTGGGGTCAGCACAGGGGATTCAAAGAGGTTGTGGCAATGTATTCATCTCACTCACTGAGTTTGGTAGGCGAGCCAGCATTTTAACCCACTGAAATTCAAAATTCAGGTCGCCTCGTGGCAAAGACTTGGAAAGTGCTGGTAGCCCTCAACTCAGTTAGTGACCGTTCAAAGTTGTGATGGCCCTGAAAAATGCGACTTACAACCATTTTTCAAATTTACGAACTTTGCCGCGTCCCCTGTGATCACGCGATTGAAATTCAGATGCTTGGCAACCGGTTCATATTTATGACCGTTGTTGTGTCCCGTCCCCCCCCAAAGGCATGGGGGTCCCCTTTGGCAACCTTCGGACAAGGAAAATCAAAGGGCCAAGCCGGATTCATGTAAAAACTGGGTTGCTAACTTATCAACGGCAGCAATTTGCTTAACAACTGTGGTGGGAAAAGTCGTAAAACGGGGCAAAGCTCACTAAACAAGCGCCTCAACTTAACAACAGAAATTCTAGGCTCGATTGCGGTTGTAAGTCAAGGAATACCTGTGTTGGTAGCTGACTGGGGAAGCCCCAAAGCGTCGAAACAATGGTTTGCAGGCTTAATTTTGGCCTGCTTAGCTGGATGATTCAATCCATGGAGGGTCTGCTTCCTTCCAACCCTTTTCTGTTCTCCTTGCTGCTTCGCGTGGCTTGGACCTTCTCCCCTGAGGAGGAGATATGTCCTGGACTCAAGCTCTCCACCTTGCCCTGTTCTCCTTTTTTGGCTCAGGCCGGCATGTCTGGGAGAGAGGATTTTCACAGCAAAGGACTGACGAGAAGGGACTTACCCATATTTCCCAATGTCTAAGTGGTTGGCTCTGTCTTTAGGTCCGGCGGCTTCCTCCTTCGAATGGAGAGAAGCTACGGAGACTTCTGCCAAGGAAGAAAACAAGAGACATGGGTTAAAGGGTTGAATCTCTGTGATTCATTCAAGGCCTCTCAGATGAGGTCACTTTTGACCACATGATGAGGGCTGACCAAAGGCACAGCTGCCCTGAGATCCATAGAGATCAGAGAATTAGTCGCAGGCTTTTTCAAGAGAGCCATGTTGAACAAGGGGATCGGCACCTACGTTTGTATGCTAAGGATATTTTGGCGGTTCTTGGATGAGGATTCTATCTAACTAAAATTAGTCTAATTTTATAAGAGCTGTGATGGCGCAGTGGTTAGAGCAGGGGTGGGATTCAGCCGGTTCAGACCGGTTTGGGCGAACCAGATGTTAAATTTATATCTGGTTCGCTGAACCGGTAGTTGAACCGACCAGCTGGCCCTGCCGATCCCACCCAGGAGTCTCCACGGGGCCCATTCTGCATGCAGATAAATGCAGAATCTGTGCGAAAGCTCTGGGAGAGCGAAAAACGGGCCTTCCGGAAGTCAAATCCAGAAGTGGGCCTGTTTCCGGCTTCTGGAGGGCCTCCGGACCTCAGGGGAGGCCGTTTTCGCCCTCCCAGAGGTCCAAGAGAAGCCTCCGGACCCTGAGGAAGGTGAAAAACAGCCCTCCCGGAACTTCCGGTAGGCCACGCCCACCATGGCCACGCCCACCCAGCAACCGGGCAGCAAATCAGTTGCTGGGATTTTTGAATCCCACCCCTGGGTTAGAGTGCAGTATTGCAGGCTACTTCTGCTGACTGCCGGCTGCCTGCAATTTGGCAATTCGAATCTCACCAGGTTCAAGGTTGACTTAGCCTTTCATTCTTCCGAGGTTGGTAAAATGAGGACCCCGATTGTTTTAGGGTAATATGCCGACTCTGTGACCCACATAGAGAGGGCTGTAAAGCACTGTAAAGTGGTATATAAAGTGCTATTGCTATAAAGGTGGTACAGACTTTATAAACAGAAGAACACTGACACCCCCTAAACTCCGCTGAAGATGTTACCTAGCCTGGTAACAAAATGTTTGGAAACAAGCCCACAAGCTCGGAGAACGAACTTCCACCATCGCAGTACAGACTTTTAGAAAGTTCAGATAATCCTCGATTTACAACCATTTGTTTAGTGACTGTCCGAAATTACCACGGCACTGAAAAAGTGACTGATGACTGTTTTTCAAACTTATGACAGCATCCCCACGATCACATGATCAAAATTCAGATGTTTGGCAAGCGGTTCGTATTTATGACGGTTGCAGTCCTCCAGGGTCATGGGATCCTCTCTTGCATCCTTCTGACAAGGAAAGTCAATGAGGAAGTCAGATTCACTTAACGGGCGGTGTCATTCATTTAACAACTGCAGTGATTCACTTAACAATCGTGGCAGGTTTGACAACTGTCTCGCTTAGCAACAGAAGTTTTGGACGCAATTGTGCTCAATAAGTCAAGAATTATTCTGTATTCTGGTTATAAAAGAAATTGGAATAAATGATGTTGACTTCCCTTGAATCTTATATCAATACAGCTATGTAAAGAGCTGGGATTTGTAATTTCTGCTTAATTATATTAAATAATTGTGGGGCTTTATATCCCCAATATTTTTAAATGTGTATGCTGACACTTTTAGAAAAGGGCTGTGTTGGAAGTTAATAGCTTG